GCCACTGTGCTCCTCATCTTCAAGGCTTTCGTCTCCTTTGCAAAACTTCTTGAACCACCACTGCACTATACGTTCATTAGCAGTTCCTGGGGCAAATGTGTTGTTGATGTTACAAGTTGTGTCCGCTGCTTTATGACCCATTTTGAAATCAAAAAAGAAAATCGCTCAAATTTGCTTTTTGTCTAACATCATTTCCATAGTCTAAAATAAATATAAAATACACAGCAAGTAATAAGTCATTAACAAAAAAGCATAAAGTGAGAAATGTGCATTAAAATGATATATAACATAACCACATTTATCTAAGAATGTATTCCAATATCAAACAGCAAATACCAACAATGCTGAAACCACAATTACTTTTGTACTAACCTAAATGCAACCTAACATGTCACATAGAATTATTTTAAATTTACTTATTTGATAGTTTTTCCTAAAATGCTGCATTGAAGGAAGGTTAAGTTTTAAGCCAGTGTTTTAAATGCTGTGGCTTGTGAGTTATTTGTTGTCATTGAACATTTCCAGTAGCCTCCCTCTATGTTTCTTCCCTTTCATAATGTATTTATAATCCCACTACAGGGAATGTGGGAGCCATGCTTGGTTTTTGCAAGCAGCATAATTAGATATAACTATACTCTGTAAATATGACTAAAGAAATGAAAATGAAAACTATATCTTTACTTGTGCTTTGTAAAGGTTGGTATTAAATATACCATAGTAATGAGAAGAATAGGCTCTGGAGCTGAAAGGCCCAGTTTGAAAGGCCATATTTGCCCACTCCTAGCTCCGTGATTGAATTTGTCTGTGCTCCTGTTTCCTCAGTTATAAAATAGAGATAACAATAGGACCTACCTGTAAGGTTTTCATGAGGATTAAATGAGTTAATTTGTAAATATATGTAAGGGATCCTTGGTGAGGTCCAGGTGGACAGTATAGGGCCTGATTTTGACATTTGCTTTAAGTATCATAGGTATGTATGTATGTTAGGAAAAAAACAGAATATATAGAGTTCAGTACTGTCCATTGTTCTAGGCATCCACTGAGAGTCTTAGAACATATCCTACTTGGATAAGAAGGGACTACTGTATCTACCTGGAATTAGCGTCAGATCCCACAAGTTAAAGGGCTAGCCCCAAGACTTCCCCCCCCTTCAGATATCAATCATAAGTCCCAGGTACCCATACTTCTTACCAACTGGCTGTAAATCAGAGGTTCCCATAACCCACCCTGCAACATTTGAAAAATTTTTAGAATGACTCACAGAACTCAGGAAAGCACTTTACTTACTATTACTGACTTATTATAAAGGATGCAACTCAGTAACAGTCAAATAGAAGACATGCATAGAGCAAGTGTGGGGGAGCGAGCATGTATGGAACTTCCATGCCCTGTCTCAGCACACCACTCTCCGAACACCTCGTTGTGTTCACAAGCCCAAAGCCCTAAAACCCTGTAGTTTATGGTTTTTTTATGGAAGTTTCATCACTTTGGGATGATTCATTATTAATTCAGTCTCTAGCCCTTCTCCCATTCCAGGAGGTTGTGGAAATGGGGCTAAAAGTTCAAAGCTTCTATTAATAATCAAGGATTGGTCTTTATGACAACCAGCCCTTATCCTGAAGCCATCTAGGAACCTACCAAGAGTTAACTCATTAAAATAAAAAATGCTCCTATCACCCTTATCGCTTAGGAAATTCCAAAGTACTATGGTAGATGTTTGTCCCCTCCAACCCTTATGTTGAAATTTGATACCCGATGTTAGAAGTGGGGCCTGATGAGAGGTGTTTGGGTCATGGGGGCAGATCCCTCATGAACAGATTAATGTCCTCCCTTGATGGTGAGTGAGTTCTCGTTCTATTAATTCCCCTGCGAGCTGGTCATCAAAAAGAGCCTGGCAGCTCCGCCACCCTTGATTCCTCTCTTGCCACGTATTAATAATTGCTGCATACACTTATTCCTCTTCACCTTCTGCCATAAGTGGAAGCCACCTGAGGCTTTCATCAGATGCAGATGCCCAGTCTTGAACTTTCCAGTCATCAGAATTGGGAGCCAAATCTTTTTTCTAAATAAATTACCCAGCCTCAAGTATTCCTTTATGGCAACACCAAATGGACTAAAAGACAAGGGTTTTATGAGCTTTGCACCAAGAATCAGGGACAAAGACAAAATATCTTTCTATGATACTATACTACCTGATTTTAATATTTATTATAGAGTATAGTAATCAGGACAATATGATATAACCTAAAGCTACACATATAGATTCATGGAAAGAAATAAAGTGTCCAGAAATAGCATGACACATATCTATTGATTTTGGAAAAAGTGCCAAGGCAGTTCATTGGAGAAGGA